GTTTTGGGCGCGCTCGGGCACGAGCCGAGCTCGCCCAAAAACCAACTCGTTGGCAACGAGCCACGAGCTCGGCTCATGCTCAAGCTCGTGTGGATATGGGCCGAACCGACACCTCTACTCAACAATACTATCCAATTATTTTTACCAAACATACCAAGAAAAAAGCAGATAAAAGAAACAACATGATCGAAGGATATGACCTTTTGAGCAGAAATCCAAGATTATGCTCTATAACTAAGGCCCGTAGCCGTAGTGTTAGTTCAAGGTTTACTCAAGCTAATTAGTTCAAGCCAAGAAATACTGTCAGTATGTTTGGTAAGCAGTCCGATAAATAGAATTTCAGCTTCTTTTCTTTTTTGTTAATATTGTCTAGAGATGGGTACTTGTAGGTTTAGAGAGAGAAATAAAGAATTTGAGTGGCAATTTTCCTGCGAAATTACAAGAGAGTGTATGGAAGGTCCAAAAATGGCGGTCGGGAGATTGACCTCTGCTATAGCCCAATTTAACATTTTTGGCCAAAAAGGTCATTTTTATATGTACTAAATAAATTTTAAGTGAATTTTTTTTTCCTATCAATCTAGCATAAAATTTTGGGATAATTGCAGCAGCGATCTCAAATCGTTGAATGTTTTTACAATCTTTATCCTAATCTTCACTTTGTGCCATTCACAGTTCTAAACCAAATAAGACTCCATTGCTGGTCATTATATGTTTAACCATAACATAAAGCAATGTGAGATGACATTTTACTAGATCCAATTGATTAAGGTACAAAGGCATATACTGAAATTGAAATGAACACATTCCATTTCTTTTTTATTCTCTTCATTTAGTTCTGTCGAATGCCTAAGTAGATCTAATTATATGAATTAATCTCATGCATGAAGTTGGAATCTTCCTTTTTAAGATAAATAAAAAATAACTCAATTTTTCACTTTTCACGGTAAAAAGGATTTATCTTAGAGAAATATTATTCATCCTCATTGGGGATGCATCCCCAGTCTATGTGGCGTTAATGTCGCATTAAATGGTAGGTGAAATTAAATAAGTCATTTAATTTCACCTATCATTTAATCAATCATTTACATCCACATAAATTGAAGATGCATCCCTGATGATGAATATGATTTTTCTTTATCTTATCAAAGAGAAGTGAGGAAGTAGCACTCATTGCATTGCCATCCATTTAGTCATTTAATTTCACCTATCATTTAACCAATCATTTACATCCACATAAATTGAAGATGCATCCCTGAGGATGAATATGATTTTTCTTTATCTTGTCAAAGAGAAGTGAGGAAGTAGCACTCATTGCATTGCCATCCATTTGACCAAAATAGTGGGCTTTGACATTCTTTTAATCATTGTTTAAAATGATAAAATGACAACTTTTTCTCATGAAACAATTAAAATAAAATAAAAAGAAAAAGGAAAGAAAT